AATAACCATATTTAAAACATAATAATCAATTTAATCTAGCTTGCACCAACAGCTGTACATGGAAGCAGTTCCGGGAGGATGATGCATGAGGTCGGCTTTGCGCATGCGCCGCTCAGAAGTGACGAAAGCGGAAAAGCAGCGGAGAGATCAAAACAAAACAACTGTCACTAATTAGAAATAGAAAACGAGGATTTGTAAAGAAGAATGTCAGAGGAGTTCGATATAAGCCAAGAGGAGAATGGTTTTCCTTTGCTATTGTAAGGAAACTTTGCTTCCTTTGCTTTTGTTAACAAACGTTGGTTTTCACGAGACTCACTGGCGCATGCGCAGCGCCGACCTCATACGTCATCCGCCCGGAGCTGCTTCCGTGTACAACTGTTGGCGATTTCAACAGTGAAGTGATTTATCACTTCATCTGCCTCAAAATAATTAGGCTAGACTTTATTACATAAGACGTTTACATACATTCAGTTTAACCGCGAAAAAGGAGATGACGAATGAACATAAATATGTTAATAACCCTCTATTAACACCTCAAAAATGTAAATATTGTAAAATCGTATGTGAATATGACATAAGACACTCACTGACATCATATTAAAAATACCTCTTCCGTTCAGTAAAAGAGGCCGTTAAGACTAACTAATTTCTGAGGCGAAAACCGCGTCCGTGTATTTTTCAATATAAGCTCTTTTCGGACTATTTCCGCATTCCATGAAATCTCAAAATACTACCGGACTCAAACAGTGAATGATGACTTTACATTTTTAATCTTTACTTACCATAAGCCGTCTTTCATTCACTCGCACTCGCTTCCATCTGAAGACGCTGAGGAAATGCTCCCCCCCTCCACCCCCCTTCATAGTTCATCTTGGAGCCACAATGTTTTCTACCACAGGAACAATTAGTAATTTTTAAATAATCAAATTTTAAACAGAGATACAATGAATGATTTGCTCAGGGTATAAGGAGGAAAGGTAACTTAATCATGGAGAAAGGCTTTTACCCTGCAGCTCCCTTGTGCATCCTTGTGTAAACTGTTACAGAAAAGTTTTTTTTTCCATGCAGTATGTTGTTTCATTCTATCTGTATATTTAGTTTTTTTTTTTTTTTAATCTTTCCTTGTTTTATATTATATCAATAACAACAATTATTGGTTCACAATATTAGTGCAAGTTTCCAGCCTTAAGAGAGTTGCTGATTAGACCGTTGCTGTTGCTGTTTTGATGTTCTTTGGAAAAAAATTGAATTTTTGAAAATGCTTAGTAACAGAGATGTTGATATTTAACACACACACACAAACACACATATCCTCTGAAAGCACAGACTTTAGAAATAGAGCTGGAGTGTTAGTTTCCTTTCATCATCTAATCACCAAGCCCTTCTAAATAAAGTTATGTGTTCAATGCATTTGCTATCAGAACTACTTAAAATTCAACCAAGTTCTTGAGCAGCAGTATGACACTTCCATTACTGACTAGCTCAATAGAAAAAAACATAAACAATAACCTACTTTTCATCAATAAAACTAGTGTGTAAAAGTCTTAATATATTAGGCCTACACTCTAAAAAATGCTGGGTTAAATACAACCCAGTGCTGGGTAAAATATGGACAAACCCAGCAATTGGGTTGTTTTGACCCAGTGGTTGGGTTACTACCCAGAAGGTTGGGTTAAACATTTAACCCAACCGCTGGGTCAAAACAGCCCAATTGCTGGGTTTGTCAATATTTTACCCAGCACTAGGTTGTATTTAACCCAGCATTTTTTAGAGTGTAGGTTGTTCTTCCTTCATCAACTGAAAAAGTTCAACCTGCCACAGGCGCAGATGACACAGTTTTACTCAGCTGTTATTGAGTCGGTTCTGTGCTCTTCTATAACTCTCTGGTTTGGGTCAGCCAGCAAATCAGATATAAGAAGACTGCAACGGACTGTTAGGACAGCAGAAAGGATCATTGGTGTGCACCTGCCCAACCTTCAGGACTTGTACAACTCCAGAGTGAAGAAACGGGCAGGTAACATCAAAGACCCCTCTCACCCCGGACACAACCTGTTTGCACTTCTCCCCTCAGGCAGACGCTACAGATCTCTGTGCACTAGAACATCTGGGCATAAAAACAGTTTTTCCCCATGCCATCTCCAGCTTAAATGGCTAACACAGGAATCATTACCTGTGTTCTGTAATTAATTTCTGTAATTCATCCTCCATTTCTAATTACTGCCTCTTTCTCAAGTATTATGTAAATACATATGCATATCTCTTTATACAGCTGTAGTAAATAATGCACAAATCTGTACATAAATCTTCTGTCCAGATTCATACACATTATTATTATTTATTGTTAAGTCTTACTATTTAAATGTTTTCTGTTCTCATGTCAGTCAGATATGTATGTACGTATGTACCAAGCGCACTTTAAAAAAACACAACAAATTCCTTGTGTGTCTGCGCACACTTGGCGAATAAAGCTAATTCTGATTCTGATTCTGAGATATTTTCAAATATTATGTAATTCATGACTGATGCCTGTTTGTCGTGCATACACCAACCAATCATATATTGCACAAGACAATCCTACACAATGTAGAGCGGCAATTTGAATAATTGAATTTCTAGTTATGAAAATGAGTTGAAATCTACACAATTACCATCAGTTTATAGTTTTAAGGGGAAATGGAGAAAAAAAGATTACAAGTAGACTTTAGTGTTTTTACAGCCCGAATGAACAGACTAATTTGGAATTTAACTTCATATATAACTGGAGTTCAGTGATGATATCAGTATATAAATTACATCATCAATATATAATTCAAATATAATACAACTCTTACAGTGCTCTGGAAGACTAAATGCATAGTTAGGCTACTCAGGCATCTTGCCACTAAATTTGTTTTTCATTCTTCACTTGCTGATAATTTCGCTTCCAGCCAGCTGAATGAGACTTGCTTAATTTAGTTACTTTGACGTTCATGTGAATAGATTACATTTCTGATGTGAATTTTCTAATTAAAGGGTTAGTTCACCCAAAAATGAAAAATTAGCCCATAAATTACTTTCAGACAAATCCAGTCGGAGTTATATTAAAGGGGTCATATGATGCTGCTAAAAAGAACATTATTTTGTGTATTTGGTGTAATGAAATGTGTTTATGCAGTTTAAAGTAAAAAAAACACATTATTTTCCACATACTGTACATTATTGTTTCTCCTCTATGCCCCGCCTTTCTGAAACGGAATCCAGTCAGAGTTATATTAAAAATTGTCTTTGATCTTTCAAGCTGTTTCATGGCACTCAGCAGGTGTTGCATGCTTCAGTCCAAAACAATCAAATAAAAATTATCTCACACTGCTCCGGGGGGGTGAATAAAGGCCTTCTGTAGCGAATCGATGCATTTTTGTAAGAAAAATATCCATATTCAAAACTTAATAATCACTTTAATGTAGCTTGCGCTCACTTTATGTAAAGGGAAGCATTTCTGGGCGGAAGTGCTTTTATCATTTTTTTCCCCCTATGGGCAGGATTTCCCTGTCCAATTTAATCAATATTGACTACAGATATTGTTATATTATTAATATCAATAATATGATATTATGTATTGCATTGTTACCTTAAATATGAGACTATTATATGCATGTATATATATATAGAGAGAGAGAGCGAGATACACACACACACACACACACACACACACACAAATCAAGTGGAAGAGAAAGACTACTAAGCAGAAAAAAGTTATTTTCTAGTTAGTTGAAACTGAAATTATAAGTGTTATGTTAGAGCAGTAATGTATAGTATCATCAGCAGAGTTTAGAAGATACACACATTTGAGGTCCTTTATTTGAAACCTCAAAAAAATGTTCTAGTGTGTTTGCTTTTTAACTTTGAATACAAACTTATCTGCTTTTACTTCTGTAGCTATTTTGATAGTCAGCTCCCGATGCGATGTCATTCACTGTATGCGCAAATTCAAAGCATCGCGTCTGGACGCGTCAACGGCGCTCGCGCTTTTTTAATCTCGTAATAAACCGGTAAATGATCTGTCCAGAAATGATGCTGATGGACAGAACAAGTTTCTATTTAGAATACATTGCAATCACGCTAAAATAGTTCACGACAACTCACACACCTGCATTAGGAGCTGTACGTCTTTGCGTGCCTATTTAGCCGTTTGCACCGCACAGTTTGCAGCATCTGATGGATGCGTTCGTTACGCAGACATTCAGAAGGCGGGACCCGCTTTGAAACTGCAACATTAATTGGTTTAATTGCAGATGAGTGACAATTCAACTATATCCAATGAACAATGAGGCTAGATTTTGCTGCCCGTCTTGACTGGTGGACTAGCAAATAGGGGATGTTAAGGTTATGGCGGCCCCTCCTCAAAGCCCGAGGCCCTAGGCAATCGCCTGCTCTGCCTATAGCTAGCGCCGGCCCTGGGTCATATATATCTTATATTTTAGATAATAGCTAATTATAGAATAAACAAAACATTTTTATTTGAAAAAGATGAACATACAGAAGCATTTTTAGCAATGCTGTATAATTGGTGTACTTGTAATAATACATCCGTGCATTTACATATTCTGTTGTGTTGCTGAATTGCATCTGATATGAATTACTTTGACATGAATGCAAATAAGCCTACATCATATTTCTGATGTGGTGTTAATAGTATCTGCGTCAGGTGAGTGCTATGAATTTGACAGAACAAGTACAAAATGAGTTTGTCATAGTCCTCAAATAATATTTGTTGTTAAAGGTTTAACTAACCACTATTAGTTGCAACAGTTAGTTGTAAACCTATACGCCATTTATCCCCTTCAGTGCTGCTACACTAAAACCAGTTTAAAACTGCAGATTAAAAACTGAAAATTAAAGATGTAAGGCTTTCTTTTATTGTTTAAGCACTGATCTGTTAAAGATCCTGAATGAAAGCTTACTGTTAAAAAAGCATTAATATTATGAACGTCAATCTAAGTGTATTTACGGTGTTTCCTCTTTTAGATATCATCAATTAGGGGGAATGTATTTTTCTTTTCACAGATGAACTTTTTCTGCATTCTGCAAGAATTATCAAACCATTCATTCAAAAAACCATCAAAATTTCCCAGACTAGCACAGTTTTCTCCAGAAGGATCATCTTCTTTCCAGTTATCCGGTTCATTCGGCCAAGATACCCTCATGTGCCAAAACCTGTAGAAGCAGAAACAGGGCGTTTAAGTGAAGTTAAAATGCAAAATGCATTAAACCTAACATTTCAAGAAAAGACAACAGACTTCAGTCTTTTATATTCATAGGTAAACAGGCAAGAAAATACAACAAATATCTGCAATGCAACATACTGCAATACACAATAGATTCAGAAAACCAAAGCCCAGCTCTCATTCACATATATATTCTTACTGTACTCCAGTTTCACTCAGAGTTTGGCTATTCATCCAAACCCAGTGTCCCTCCGTTTCAAGATCATTGAGACCAATCCAGTGTGTCTCTTTAATTTTAGAGACCAGGAAATCCTGATGGAGAACATTTACTTTATTGCTGTTCTTTAGGGAAAAAAAGTGTTTTTTAATCTTTCACTGTATGTAAAGTACTTTTCTCTACCTCACCTGTATTTCTTTGTTGCTTATGGAGACGAGACGAGCTTTTGATGCTACACATAAATCACGGCTCTCAAACCATGTCTGCTTTTTAGAGGAGAAGAAATAACACTTTCCACGATGTGCTGTCCAGCCTTCCTCACAGGGCTGACAAGACGTAGATACAAATCCTGGAAATTATGTTTAAAACCATAATTGATAATCTCTCTAGCAATATTAACTGAAAAACTATGATTATTGACTACAAGTAACAGAGCAGAAAAATAAAATAAAACACAGAATAGGACCAAAGAAAGCAGTAAGTTAATTGGGTAACACTTTACTTGAAGGGGTGTGCATAAGACTGACATGGCACCTTCATAATCAAATATGACATTATTTTACCTAACCCTAACCTAACCCTACCCCTACCCTTACCCCTAACCTGTCATTAAGTGTCATTCGCTCAGTTATGTCATTTTTAATGCAAATATGACATTATTTGACCTAACCCTACCCTTACCCCTAACCATAGCCCATAACAAAGACATCTCAAACAATGTCAGCTTTGCATTAAAAATTACATAACTGAGCAAGTGACACTTAATGACAGTTGTCATAAACATGCATAAAAAACCCTTCATATTCATGACATGTGTCATGTCATGTTTATGTAGGTGTCATGTCATGATTATGAAGGTGTCATGTCAGTCTTATGCACACCTCTTCAAGTAAAGTGTAACCGTTAATTGTCTTGAAAGGATTTATCCACTCACCAGTGCATAAAGACAGGCAGTTTTTGGCAGCGTTGTAGTTGTGCAAGAGCTTTTCATCATCAGCTGATACAGAACACACTGCTTGAATGAACCAAGAAAAACAAGCAAATTAAAGTTAAAATCAACGGTTGGTTTAGTGTAACCACAAGCCAATATGAAGGGAAATAACTTTATATCTCATACTTTAGGCTTGTTACTCATAAAGTGCTACTTTATCTCTTAGCTGCTAATATTTCACAATTAAATTTTTATATATACAGTGCTCTCCACTAATATTGGCACCTTCGGTAAATTTGAGCAAAGATGGCTGTGAAAATAAATCTGCATTATTTATCCCTTTGATTTGAAAATTCACAAAATTCTAAACATGTGTCATGTCATGATTATGTAGGTGTCATGTCAGTCTTATGCACACCCCTTCAAGTAAAGTGTAACCGTTAATTGTCTTGAAAGGATTTATCCACTCACCAGTGCATAAAGAGAGGCAGTTTTTGGCAGCGTTGTAGTTGTGCAAGAGCTTTTCATCATCAGCTGATACAGAACACACTGCTTGAATGAACCAAGAAAAACAAGCAAATTAAAGTTAAAATCAACGGTTGGTTTAGTGTAACCACAAGCCAATATGAAGGGAAATAACTTTATATCTCATACTTTAGGCTTGTTACTCATAAAGTGCTACTTTATCTCTTAGCTGCTAATATTTCACAATTAAATTTTTATATATACAGTGCTCTCCACTAATATTGGCACCTTCGGTAAATTTGAGCAAAGATGGCTGTGAAAATAAATCTGCATTATTTATCCCTTTGATTTGAAAATTCACAAAATTCTAAACTTTCATTGAAGTAAAACAACTGAAAGCGAGGGGAAAATCTCATTGTGAAATAAATGTTTTTCTCTAGTTCACGTTGGCCACGATTATTTGCACCCAATTATTGCAACATCCTTTTACCAAGATAAAAGCTCTGAGTTTTCTCTTAAAATGCCTAATGAGTTCGGAGAACACCTGACAAGAGATCAGAAACCATTCATTCATCCAGAATCCTTCATCCAGAATTCTCCAGACCCTTCAGATTTCCAGCTCTATGTTGGTGCTTCTTCTCTTCAGTTCACCCCACTCATTTTCTATAGGGTTCAGGTCAGAGATGGCCATGGAAGAAGCTTCATTTTGTGCTGTGACACATTTTTGTGTTGATTTTGATGTTTGTTTTGGGTCATTGTCCTGATGGAAGATCCAACCAAGATTTCTAACAGAGGCAGTCAGGTTAAGATTTTTAATCTGTTGGTATTTGAAAGAACCCATGATGCCATGCATCTGAACAAGAGGACCTCTGGCAGAAAAACTACTAAAACCCATCTGGTGGGTTTGCTGCCAAAAAGCTCATTTTTTAGATTCATCTGACCATAGACAGATCTGTTGAAGTTCCAGTCGTGTCTAACAAGGCTCAAATAAGCCACCTTTGCTCATAGTTACCAAGGATGCCAATAGTGGAGGGCACTCACTGTATATATAATTATCATTACAAATGCTATTTTATTTTCCCAACTAGTTCTATAATGAATATGTGCTTACACTTCTCTGGATCTGACTGTAGATTGGAAACATTGTGCTGCTGGTCAGATGGAGCGTCACACAAGGTGAATTTACCAGCATCTAATTGACACACATACAATAAATGCATAGTTTACACGAGCACAATTTACTCACTGTGTTATGTGGGGGGGGGGTTACTGCTGCTCTTCCTGCTCTCATCCATGCTAGGCTGCATGGAGGCGCAGGGAGTTCTTGCCCAGAACAGAACCATACCACCAATCCAAACTGTATGCTAATTGTCAATCATCTTTGACGATAGTGGTCCTGACAGAACTTTGAGTATTAAAAAACAGCAACAAACATTTAAGTATTTAGAAAAAAATATTTTTCTTAATATTGGTTCAAACCTCTGTGTGTTTGTTGACTGTTTAAAAGCATCCTTAAGTGTCACCGGCCCACCGGTGGGCCCACAGCCATTACATCATTTATTGCCTTTTTACTCCATCAAATATTTTAGTAATCACCCTAAACTAGATATCATTTGAAAGCTTAAAAACTCAAAATGTATCCTATGAAAACCATTTTGAAATCAGACATTGCGTTGGCATTGAAATGGTACTTTAAAATCTTTTGCCCGTCTCCTCCCCTATGGGCGGTGTCATGTGTCATATTACAAAATGTATAACAGTATTTTACAATCAAACCTTTTTATAATCTTGACAAAATACATATCGTTTGAAAGGTCTGAGTCTCAAGATTATTTTGTGATAGAAGTAATATGGACAGAAATTTAGACATTTATGACAGAAAAATGCATCAAAAAAATTCAGTGGAGTTTGGGTGTCACCCGGTGGCTGTTTGTGGTATAACGTCCTAAATAAAATCTCACAGGAACCTCAATTTTTTTTATATCAACTTCAAATTTGAAACATAACTTATTTAGACATAAGGCTTTAATTTTATAGCAATTTTAGAGTTAAACCTAAACCTAAAATATTAAAAATATATATTTTATATGAAATAAAATAAAAATTGTACAGTGCATTTTCTTTGCAGTAAATTTAAGCTTTAATTTTATAGCAATTTTAGAGTTAAACCTAAACCTAAAATATTAAACATATTTTATATGAAATAAAATAAAAATTGTACAGTGCATTTTCTTTGCAGTAAATTTAAACTTCTATAACTTTTTGATACTTTCAGATTTTGAAATGATTCCACTTCTACAATAATCTGCTGATGTTCTTCTTTAAAAAGAGTCCAACCATAGATCTGTATTGCTTTAATTATAATAATTTAAGGTTGGATAGTGCACTTTCACGTCTATGTTCAAAAATGGGGCGTGACCACTGATCTATATATAATGACTGGATCGCTCATTGCGTTCTAAACTGCTGACAGCCGCCATCTTACTATTCCCTACCGGCAGAGAGCGCCATTGACCAACAGTCAAAACACTGACCTAAAATCACCCGATTTGAAGGTATCAGTCACACAGGATTCGTTTTTATGTTATGTGTATGTAAATTCATTTTTACTTCAGATGTTATCTGCAATGTTTATGGTCTTTTTGGGCAGGATAAGCAATATATTTAAATCGTTAAGGTGGGTGTGTCAGCTGCAGGTAAGGTTAACTGATCCAACACAAAATATATTTCGTCTTTATGTACGTAATTATGCAGGAAATATGAAACATTATAAAACAGTTAGTTCCATTCCTCAATTCTGATTGGTCAGCAGCTGTGTTTTATTCACAATACAGCACTGATGACCGCTTCACCCAAAGGTTCTGTGTATCACTGAGCAACACCCTTATAATGTCAAAATATGCATCACTAACCTGCATAATTTGACAAAGCATCCCTGTTAAAAGGCCAATATTTACCCCTTTGACACTGTCAAAGTCATCTGTCATTGTTGGCGGGCGTTCGCTGGTCTATTGACATGCAGTCTATGCGATGTTACACTCTGGTGGCCTTTGCATAAGAATGGTCGTCGATAACCATCATATTTCTCATAATTAAGTCTGAAATTGTCATTGCACCAGAGTTCGTGATATAAATCCACCATTAGCGACTAATAAAAGCCTCACACGAGATATTCATAATAAAGGGACTCGCTCTGCCGAAGGGCAGTTAGAAGTGAGGAATTAGGTAATGCTACTAAATCAAACGATAAGGTCATTGTAGACTTAAACAGAGAAACACAATCATAATTATGAAAGGAGCCCGTTATTTTCCTTCTGGCACCCTGAGTTATATATAAAACGGTTAGTTCCATTCCTTGATTCTGATTGGTCAGCAGCTGTGTTTTAATCACGATACAGCACGGCTATGACCGCTTCTCCCAACAGTCCTGTATATCTCTGAGCAACACCCTTAGCAACATAAGCAATCAATAATATAGCATCAAAACGGTTTCATTTATTATGTATTTCGGCAGAATTAATTGTTTGATATTTATTTAATGAAGTATGAGTGACCCCTGCTGGCGTTATGTTGCATCTTTCATCTTTAATTCTGAGACCCCGCCCTTCCCCCCGTCTAATAAACGCTTCTCATGCGGAGATGTGTTGATCAGTGTTGACAAGATCCGCGGTTTTTCCGCGTAATTGGGCTATTTTAACACTGTTTAACACTGACTCCAATAACTAACATGATATTTATCCCCTGGAATGCGAATTTTAGCAGGGGGACCTGTATGTGTGTGAGAAAATATCATATATGGTGTTAAAGGGGTCATATGACCTTGCTAAAAAAGAACATTATTTTGTGTATTTGGTGTATTGGAATGTGTTTATGCGGTTTAAGGTTAAAAAAAC